CCACACCACAAGGTGGCAAAACCCCAGTTGTTTCTTCCTGCAAAGAAACAAAAATTTCAGACTTAAAAACCAATGATGATAAGAACATGAGCGGAAATCAACTATTTTTCCACCTAAAGCCTTCTCCCACAAGAATCCCTTCAAAACCTCGCCAAGGCCATGCCAACCCCTCTTCGGCACCCTTCGGCCTACTCCAAACCATTTCCAAGCACCAATCCTACTTCACCTAGCCCCAGTCCCAGCAGATACTAGAACCCAATCTTTACCTAGCCTAACCCTATACTCAATCACCAAGTTATGCAAGACCTCTGCCCTGACCTAGCACTAATGCGCCTTCACAGCCCGTTCTCAGCACCTTTGCCAGTACCATTAAATCCAAGCCATACCCAGCCTTACACACACCAAACCCCTTTACGCACACCAGACAAAACCATCTAACCATCTAACCATCACCATCTTTCCCGACTAGAACTCATGCTTCATAGCTTTTCACAAGCACCTCTCAATATCGTCCCTTCGCCAAACCCATCCTCATCAGCCCCTTTTCGAGACCCTAGTCGACGCTTACCTAAAGCCATCCCCAGCCCCTCCGTTCCACCAGGGCCTCTCCATTAGCACCTCATTAAACCCAGTAAGAATCATCCCCGAACAGTGCCTACTTCACCCAACCTCCTCCATAGCCCTTTACAACAACCCTCTCAAGCCACCCTCGACCTAAGTCTTGTGCCTACCAACCTCTCTTAAGACACTTAAAACCCTTCAATACAAAAAAAAGAGCCCTTCATTTGCCCATCATCGGTCCTTTCATCCCAGAACCTCTGAAAGTGTGCATGTCACTGGGCATCTAGTTACCACCCTCACCAACCTTTCCATTCGCCCGTACCCACGCAACCAAGTCCTTGTAAGCTCCAGTCAACCAAAACCCACTCATCTCTGACACTAGCCCAATAGCCCTTGAACTAGAAAACCCATCCATCCTTGCCATAAACCTATTCTCCAACCAAAAATCACCAAAAAGATACCAAAAATAAAAAAACAAAAATAATTCAAAACCAAAAAACATAGTCCTCCCCGTAGGGTTGGAACCACCAGCACCAAGCTAACCTAAAACAAATAAAATTAGTCACAGATTACAAAAAATAAAGAAACAAGGAGAAACAAAAAAAAAGTTTGCAACGCCACTAGAAAGCAGTAGTGTAGCAAAGAGAACGGCATTGCAAGGAGGTTAACAGTTCAGCGACAGCAAATGGGGAGCTCCGATGACTGGAGCAGCAAATTACAGAAGGTTGGTAGCAGTCAGCGAAAGCTAGTGGAAAACTGTTAGTTCTCTTTGATGACAAGAAAGTTTTTTTTTTTTTAAGGGAGATGAAATGAGATTAAAAAAAAAAACTTAGCTTTTAAAAGCTAAAAAAAAAAGGAAAAAGAAGTCGGACGGGTCAATTTGACTCTACTCTTTTGTGACCAGCCAACTTGTCCGACTCGACCCAAATGACCGACCAAGACTCGTTAGTGTATACATGACCCGTACCTGTTAAGCCCAATACCATTTGCTGTGGCCTGCTTGCTCTTTCAATTTAATTCAAGCTAAATTTAAGCCAGGTTTGGGTTAAGACTTTGTTTGGTATAATATCTTTTTTTAAAATTCTATTATTTAATGCATTTTTATGCATATATATATATATATATGCATATTCAAATATAAAAAAAAATGTCTTAAGAAAATAGAATGATTCTTGTAAAATTAAAATTATTAATACTTATGTTAATGTTTTTTTAAGTTTGCTATTGGAATTATTATCATTGCTTGAAAAACCAAGATAAAAAAATATTTTTAAAAAATTATAAAAAATGAATGAAATGATGATTTTGGAAACTTTACCTAGATGTTGAAGGGAATTCAAATTATGTTTTGAAAAATAAAATTTACTCTTGAATACCGCTTAGATGTTGGGGTGTTAAGGAGGTTTTATTTTATTAAGAATTTTTATACATATTTGCAACTCAAAATAAATTTGTTTTGTTAAAAACAATAAATATAAAATAATAAAAAATAATATGATGAAATTTTAAATATAAAAGGTCACACCCAAAACTCTACCTAAAGGTTGAATAGTTCAAGTGATCTTTTTATATTTAAAGATCCGAATTTTAAATTCACATTTGATCTTCATTTGCATATGTTTTATTTTTTAAATTAATGTACTTATTTATAATACATATATATATATGTTTGTTCTAATTATTAAAGTTTAATATTAATCATATTATGTCATTTTTGTTTTTTTACTACATATAAAGTTTTTAAAAATTAGTTTTAAACAAAGAAAAATAAAATAACTTTATGAAATATAATTATTGATACTCTCTCTAGATGTTGGAGAGTTGCCAATAATTATCATTTATAAAGAATGTTATTTTATTATTTTTAAAAGGAATGTTGTGATAAATTTTAGATAAAATGACTATTTTTGAATTCTGTTTGTATGTCAGAGAATTTGAAGATATTTTTTTAATCTAAAAAATTTTTCATAATACTTTTAAATAAAGTTTTCTTTAAATTAATCTCATTTCTAAAAAATAAAGGGAATTATTATTAAATCTAAAAATGAAACTGTTTTTATCAAAAACCAATGATAGTGTATAATTAATTAGTACCAATTCTATAGGCATTATGGGGTGCTAATCATTCTCCATATGTAACCGACTCCTGAATCCAATCTTGTTTTCGTAAACCGAAATTATCTTTTTAATAAACTTTAAACTTGTTTTATTGTTTTATTAAGAAAGATAAATTTTTGGATGGCCAATCACACCCTAAAAAAGATTGGTGGTGACTCCTTATATCTTTTTCATGATTTTTATATTTTACGTCTTGCAATCGAGTCTCTAGATCGATACGTTACAACAACGGATAAAGGACGATATCAAAGACTAGTTAGAAAGCTTACTTACTTTTTCTACACACGACTTAATATCAAGTTTGCAATGGAGATGGTGAGCAAATACATGAATAATCTAACCAATAAGCACCTCAAGGTTGTTCATCACATCCTACAGTTCTTAAAGAAGAGTTCTGGTGAAGATTTATACTTTAAGAAGTCAATGGATATGGTAATCAAGGTATACACGGAAGCTGATTAGGTTGGATCTGTAATAGATAGAAACTCTACTACAGGATATTACACTTATATTTATGATAATTTGGTCACTTGGAGAAGTAAAAAGCAAGCTATTTTAGCTAGGAGCAATATGAGTTTAAAGTAATGGCTTATGATATTTATGAAAGAATTTGATTGATGAGGTTACTTGAAGAATTAAAAGTTTAGACTGTGACATCTATGACATTATTTTGTGACGATATGGCTATTATAAGTATTGTCAAAAATCCTGTTTATCGTGACAAAATTACGTACATAAAGTTGGACTTGCATTTCATAAAAGAAAAGATAGAAAATGAGTCGATCAAACTATCCTATATTCTTACAAATTCTCAAATTGCAAATGTTTTGATTTAAAGTTCTTCATAGAAGCATTTTTGATTAATTGAAATCTAAGTTAGGTATGATTTACATTCATAACCTAGTTTGAAAGGGAGTATAGAAATTTGATTCTCCTACATTAGTGTAGCCTAGTTTCTTAATTTATTTTGAAAATATTTCTCATTTATTTTTTTGATTTAGTCAATTGTTTTGATTTTCAAGCTTTTAGGGGTTTGTTTTTATTTTATAATAGAATAATTCTCCTTCTTTTTCTTATTTTTATTTTTTGTTTTATGTAAGTTATTTTCTAATAATGAACTTCACTGTTCTTATTTATTTTGATGTACTCCTTTATTCTAAAAATAATAAGAAGAAAAAAAGATAATTATTCTTTAAATTTTTTCTAGCAAGCAATAAGAAAATTGAGTAAGAACCTTTTGAATTTGGGTTTGAATAACTTATCATAGTTTGATTTGCTAGTCATCACTAGTCTTGTTTTATAACATCTATCACTGTGTTTAGTAAAAATGATTTGTTGAGACATTTGGGACATCCAAGTAGTATGAATGGAATGAAAACTAAAGAAACACTTGAACAACTAAACTAGCATTCCATGAAAAGGTCCAAAAGAAATTAGACATATTTTTAATAAAAGATACATGTATTTATTATTGAATATAATCAAATGATCAAATACAATTATTTGATTAAATTTTTTAATTAAAATAATAAAAAATTATTGAATTTAATATTTATTTAAATAAAATCTTATATTTTTATTACATCAAAATAAATTTTTAATTTTTAATTTGTATCCAAATAAATTATTAACTTTTAATTTATATTTAAATAAGTCTTTAAAATAAATTCATCTTTTGTTTAAATAAATGTTTATTTGGATATAAATAAAAAATAAGAGATTATTTGAGTACAGTAAAAATATAAAAATTTATTTAAATAAAATAATAAAATTTTAAAATTTTTTAATATTTAAATTTTTATTAAAAAAAATTCAAACTTGTCTTTTGAAATCGAAAAACATATCAAATGTTACCATATGATATCTTAAATATAAAGAAAAAAAATTAAGCCATGACCAAGCCCAAACTTTCAAATAAGCAAAACTTTAAAATCGATTGACTAATCCATTTAGGGATGACAATGGTTCAAATTGAGATGAACAAAACTCATCGACTAGATTTTATACATATAAAATTTGAACATGACTGGATTTTATGTATATAAAATTTATACTTGACCATATTTAATATTGTATAAAATTATATTTAATTTGATTTGATTTAAAATTAATAAAATATTATTTTTAAATATAAAATATTATTTTTAATATAAATATAAATTAAATAAATATATAAATATAAAATTAAATAAATAATTAAAAAATAATTTTTTATATATATTGGATTTGCGTAAAATCCAATCTCAATATGATCCTAATTGGTTTTTTACTATTACTTGACTCAATTTTGATACTTAATTTAAAAAAAAATTGACTCTAAAAAATTGGATAAGGACAAAACACGTCAGTTACAAATTGAACTATCATCCCTGACCCACCAACAAATTTTTTTTCTCTGGAAGCAAAACAAAAGCAAAAGCATGGAAGAAAACACAGAAACCGCCTCTGTTACTTCCCAAAATTCCCTCTCCTAAAAGGATGGAGAGAGATCAGGCAAATACTCTTCCTTTAATCTCCCTTAGTCTCTCCTTTAAAATCACTCTGTGGTAAGCAGCTTCCCCCCATTCTTTTTCAACTTTTCCCTTCCCAAACCCTAATTTTATTTTCTCCTTTTACCTCATTTCTTCATTTTTCATTACCTAATCTCATCTACTCTGATATATTTCTCAAAATTTTCAGAATTTCATTTTAAAATGCAAATTACATTAACAATCTTAATATGCCCTACTTTAAAAGAAATAAATGTTTTATATTTATGGAATTTTGTTTAAGCTCCTGTTTCAAGCTTAGTACCCCAGCAACTGAAGCGTGGAATCTTCAACTTTTATTTTCAACAGGTAGCTTAGTTTAAGTTCTGCATTGGGTTTGATTATATTACTGGGAATGTTTTTGTTATTTAGTTGTTTTCTTTGTTGAATTCTACTTAGGGAAAATCCTGAAGGAATTTTTATTTTTGAGTAATTTTTCCCGTCGAAAAGGATAGGAGGAAGAGGAATTTTTTTAAGAAACAGATGAACACGCCCTTTAAAAAGAAAGGGGTCGATAATAATCGGAAACTGAAATGGGTTAGTAATTCTGGGAGCTCTAATCCTGGAGACACTGTTGATCGTGTACTCTGTCCTTGGAGAAAAATTGGTGGTGTTGTTGGAAAGGGTGGGAATATAGTAAAAGCATTAAGGGAGGAGACTGAGGCAAAGATCAGGGTTGGTGATTTAGTTCTTGGTTGTGATGAGAGAGTTATTATTATTTATAGTTCGCCCTTGAAGGTGAAAAAACATAGTTCTGATGAAGATTCGTGTGGTGAGAATGAAAAAGAGGTGGTGGTAGCGATGGAGCCTTGCTGTGTTGCTCAGTATGCTCTGTTGAAAGTTCATGGTCGGATTGTTGAGGACCATCTGTTTGGTGGGATGGCATCGGATGATGATAACGGGAATAATGTTGTCACTGCACGACTTCTTGTTCTAAATAATATGGTATGATGTCTTTTAGGGAGACGGGGTGATGTGATTTAAAGATTGCGAACTGAGACAAATGGTAGTATCCGTGTTCTTCCTATTGATCATCTTTCTGCTTGTGCAATGGCAACTGATGAATAAGTGCAGGTATCTACTAACTTTATAGCAGTACAAATTTTTGTTTATTGTATGCGTTTGACGAAGAAATGAACATGCTGAAATGTTGAATGGCTATCTTTTTGTATTATGTGTTTGAATTTCCTTTCTCTTATAAGAGGCTCCTTACAATATATTTTTACTTTAAAGCTGGTTGAGTCCATATTATGCTTGGATGCCACTTGTCATTTTTTTATTACTATTGCCCTTCCTCTGTTTTTTTTTTTTTTTTTTTTTTTAATTTTTTAGTTGTTTTCCCTATTCTTGTTCTGTGTTGTGTTGTAAAAATTTCTGCTAGTTCATCTTGAAATCTTGTTGTTTAAAGTCATCTTTCAGAATTGATGCTTTCTTTTAAATACTTGCAACCATGAAATAAGATATGGGCTATCTTCAAACAACATTAGTTCCGTTATTTGTTAAAGGAAGTTAGTGTAAATATAATTTATAGGCTCCTTTTCCTTGCTTCTTGCTATTTGTTTAATAATGATTGGTTGGCTGAAATTATTTTCCTTGGACTACATTTAAGTGCGGAAAAATGATTATATAGCTTACTTTAGTTAGATTTGGATTAAGGTTTAGTTGAGTGGAGTAGTTGTAGTCATCGTCAATCAGATTATGTTATTCCAATGAATTTAAGACAAATATGATTCCTAGAAAAAGAAAAAACATAAATATCATTTATTTCCTCTTGTTTCTCACCTTTTTACTTTCATGGTATGTAAATACTAATTGAGATTCTAATTTAGAGGTTAAAGTTTTACTACCTATATCTCACTGCTTCAATGCTTTGAACTGCCAACTTGGAGTTGAATGAAGTGCTATCTTTGAACAGTTTAGGCCATTGGCATTTACTTTTTGGCCCATCACCATTTCTTGGAGAGAGGATGGCGTATAATGTCAAAATATTTTGAAAATGTGATGGAGGTTCTGGAAGTTTGAGGATGACATTTAAGAAGAATGTTCCATAGAGGATTGTACGCAGGGATACAAAGTTATCTACATTGTATGTGTTAATAGTATAGGATGCATAAGTTGGCATATAGGCATGTATTACATCTCACTGATGTGGTAATATAAACATCCTTTATATTTCATGAGTCAATTTCATATAGGATTGGGCTTTTCTTTTAAGGAATGACTTATCACTTGATTAGCTTTATGGTTTACCAAGTGAGATGGCTTTTTTACTATTATGATACGGAGGCTTTTTCTAGTTTTATTGCATTTTGGGCCTTTTGGCATGAGTGATTGTTCTAACGCATAAATCTGTGGACCTATCGTTAAACATAGATTTTAAGAATTGTGACCAAATCTTTTTTGTTTATGTGTGATTGGTTACCTAACTGAATCTGTTATATTTTAAAGATAAGTCTTAAATTTGATTTGAGTATCTTTAAAATGTAAATTATAGTTTATGAAATCAGATTTTAGGTTCGGGAGTGCGGTTACGAGTGGTGAAGGTTATAACATCCTCATAATGCTTATTTAAAATATGGTAACAATTTGATTTCAAATTATCAAAGCTATAAAGTCTTTTTGTAATTTTACCAAATAATTTAATTATTAAAAATTAATTTTAAAATTACTCCAATAGTTTGATAGCAATTTAAGATAATTTTTTTACTTCAAAAGTATTCATGAAGATTTGTGTCATACTTTAAAGCGGTTTCATTGTCGAATTTATTTAATTTTCGTTGGAAAAAATTTTTTATTTGTGAAAACAATTTATTTTCAAAACTATCTTCTAATATATTGGTAATATGTTTCGTCAAGAATTATCTTTTAATATATTGGTAAGATTTTAAAAAATTTTTTTCAAGGAAACTTATTAAGTCATCCAATAGTTTAGTAAGACTTAATTCAAAATTTAAAATTTTCAATAATTTGGTAAGATTGAATTTTTTTAAAATTTTTTTTTAAATTGGAAAGAAAAAAATCAATTCGAATAAATAAAAGTTATCATGCAAATAATATCATGTAGTATCATGCAATAATATAACATATAAATTATCATGCAATAGATATAAATTATCATATAATTAATTAATAATCATGCAAAAAAATTCATAAATGATATGATCATTTATTTTATCATATTAATTCAATCACACAATAAAAACAGAAAATAAAAATATGAAAACACAAAGAAAAAAAAGTAAAAATAGAAGATAAAAAATAAAATAAAAATCAAAACAAAAAAATTAAAAGAAAAAAAAAGTCAAATCCTGCGATTTGGGTCGGCTCACCAAATGAGTCATGCATGAATTTTCATGGGCTCATGCGGGTTAGCTCTTTTGCCCAAATTGGCATTGTTTGGCATAACTATATAAGTAAAAAATAAAAAAACTTTAATCTTTTTAAAATGCTTTACTATTTTTTTCTTTAGCCAAATTCTCTATACCTTTTCTCTAAAATTTCATTAGAACACTCAAGAACAAGCAAAAGAATCCTAGATACTGATGCTGAAAATTCAATCCGTTGTCGAAAAAACTAAACCTTTCAAGAAACAACCTAAAATTTTAGAATTTGATCGTCACCTAAAATGACTTTTTTTTTTACCCTGATTTTTTTTTAACCAAAATAAATAACAAAATTAAAATCAAAACTGAATCTAAAAAAAATCAAAATTAAAATAAAAAATCAAGATCAAATTAAAAATTTTGAGCTTTTATCTTGTTGGGTCCAATGCTTCCTAACCGAGTCCATTTTATGGTTGATGGGTCGTTTTCAATTTTAGAAAAACTTTCAAACAAAATAGGATGTCTACAGTTGTTTTTTTTTTTTTACATAGTTTCTATAAAATAAGAATTGCACAAAGATATAGATATCAATTTTGTTCGATTCAACTTAAGGATCTTTTAAATAGAGACATGCAACTTAAAAAAATGAATCAGGAAATGAGCTCATTTGAATACGGGTTTAACAAAAATTTTTTTAAAAAAAGAACTATTTTATACAGAGGCTAAACAATTTTAAATTGAGAGACATTCTCCTCTATATAGAAGCTAAACAACTTTAAATTAAGAAATAAGCGTTTTTATATAGAGGCTAAATAGCATTAAAAACTTTAATTAAAAAATGTTAATAGACATCTATTTTGCTCAATGTAGAAAAATTTAAAATTTATAGTTTGAAATCCAAAGATTCATAATTTGAAAATTTAAGGGTTCAAAATTTCATAAAAGTTCAAAGATTCGTAAAGTTCTTTAATAAGAATTGAAAGATTTTAAGATTTGCAAAAATTGCAAGATTCTCATAGGTTCTAGATTCATAAAGTTTTCGAGTTTCGTAGAGGTTTTAGATTCACAAAAATTTTAAATTCATGTGGATTTTAAAGATTCACAAGATTTTCAAATTTATAAGAATTTCAGGTTTACAAGAATTTTTAGATTCGCAAGAATGAAAAATTCGCAATAATTCAGATTTGTAAGAATTTTAGGTGCGTAAGAATTCAAAGATTTTCAAAATTTTCATATTCGTAAAAATTTTAGATTCGTAAGAATTTTTAGATTTGCAAGAATTTCAGGTTCTTAAAAATTTTCATATTCATAGGATTTCAAAGATTTGTAAGAATTTTCAAATTGTAATTCACATAAAAGATTAAAAAATTTACATTCAAAAGATTTTTGTTAGTGATTCACATATAAAATTTAAAATTTAATATTTGAAAAATTCATGTATTCACATAAAAGATTTCAATGTTCATAGTTAGAATTCAAAGATTCTCATTCAAAAATTTCAGAGATTTATATTCAAAAGTTAAAGATTTTCATTTGAAAAATTTAAAGATTCATATCTAAAATTTCAAAGATTCATATTCGAAAATTTTTAGAGATTCATATTTAGAATTTTAAAGATTCACATTCGGTAAATTTAGGGTTTCGCATCTAAAATTTTAAAGCTTTTCATTCGAAAAGCTTTAGAGTTTCACATCCAAAATTTTAAAAATTCTCATTCAAAAAATTCTAAAGTTTTACATCCAAAATTTCAAAGTTTCTCATTTGAAAATTTTAGGGTTTTACATCCAAAATTTTAAATATTAAAATTTCAAAATTTCTAATTCAAGCAACTTTAGTGATTATGCCCGAAAGTCTTATAAATCATGATTTTTTTTTGAAAAAAACTCGTTTAAACAAAGGCTTTATAACTTTAAAAATTTGGAATGTTTTTTTTATAAAGAAAAGTCTTATCATAAAAGATTTTTCTCATTTGAGAATTTAAAAGTAAAATTTTTTCTAATCAAAGTCAAATTTTGTATATAATAAATGTTAATGCGAATTTCTTCTACACGTTACAAATGTAACAATTTGGATTCTTACCAAATGATACAAATGCATGTTCTAATTAACCATGCAAATGTCATACCATGATTCAAATATTTATTATATAATGCAAATGTATGCCCCAATCATGATGCAATTATCAAAACAAGGATTCAAATGTATTTGTTCAAACAACAATGTGAACTTAATGTATGTAAGGCAAATGTCATTAAATCAATGCCATTAAATTTCAATTATGGTAATAAAGTTTTCAAGACTTTTTCATTTCTTATATTCTTTCTTAACTTCTTAGCTCTGATGATTTTAAAACAAATTCCATCATTCAATCCATGTTATTTCTTTATCTGGTCACAATTCAGGTTATGTTGACCAATCCATTATTATATTTACCAATAGATCATCTAATTTGCTATTTTCAAATTTTCTCAGGTTTCTTTCACTCTTTTCATTTTAGATTTTTTTTTCAAAAGAATAGAAAAATCGTTTACAGATTTTATCATTTACTTATTTATCATCATTTTAATTCATGACAAATATGATACTTTTTCTCAATTTATTCAAGAAAAATGAGTATTCATTATCGAAAAAAAATTGGTCAAGAACAAATCAAAGATGGATAAAAGCCAAATGCTATAGTTGTTTAAATGGGATATTAACATTCAAAATAATGACTGTTCAGACAATTTTGAACTTTAACTTAGAATTCTTTTTAAAAAACACATCAATATCTTCGATATTTGAATTGATCATCATCCATATCTTGGAATCCTCAAATGAAATCATTTTTTTGAGTCTCTATTTTTTACTTAAACCATTTTTTTGGCTTTACAATTTAAGTTTTTCTTTTTTTTGTTTTTTTTTTCTCATATTTTCTTCTAATTTCTCTTTCCTTTTGATCCATTAGTGACATTTTGATCAAAATCTCAAATAATTCAATAGTAAATTTGCCTTAGTTCAATTAATGATTTTTTAATTCGAGTATTCACATTCGATTAAAATAAACTTTTAAAAGATATAATGTAGGTTAGGGTGAGGAGTTGTGAAAGAAATGGATAAGACAGCCTTAAACTGTATTTAAAGATAATTAAATCAATGATCATTTTTTTTCATGTTGAGTACTTTGATATTTTGCTTTATCAATTTCTTCTTCTTTTCTTTTTTTTTTTATCGCATTTTTCATCATTTTTAAAAAAGATTTGAGCGTAAAAGGGCTTATCCCTAAAATCACTAAGGATCTTCACTTTTTTAAGCTTTTTAAATTTTGGCCTAATGGCAGGGCGATCCTTGGTTAAGGCTCTTTGACAGAAAATTTTAATAAACTAAAATTAGGTAGTAACAGATAATTTTATTTTATTTTTTTATAAAAAGTAAAAAAAAAATGATAATTTCTTATCTCAAATATGAATACTTTTGATTAAGAACATTTATTAACCAAGAGCAAACTTGTGAATATTATTGTCAAGATCACGTATTGCATACTTTTCTTTGAACAAGCGAAATTTTTTACTAATTTTGTCTTTTATTTAGCAATCATAATAAACTAATAATGGCATCATGAACGATATTTTCAAAATCGAATCTTAAATTGTTGTTATGACTATCTGAACATTCATTATTTAGAATCAAAGAATATATATGAGAACAAATATAAGAAGGTAAAAGCATATAACGGTGATTCACACGAAAGAGAAAATGTTATGAAAATGTATCATATCTATCCTTTTTATTAAAATAATGAAAAATAAGATGAAATTTAAGTACATAAAAAAGATCTATATTTTAAAGAAATCTTAAAATAACAAGCAGTTTCAGTCATTTTTTTCATATTTTTTTTAAAATTATGCCTCTAGGTGATCAGATAAAGAGCTTTTGTTGACATTTAAGTCTTTAATTTGTTGAAGTTCATTGAGTTTACTTAGATCAAGTTTTACACCTCATACTTGAAAGCAAGATAAGTTTCTATAGAGTGACCCATATTTCCATTATGGAAATTACATGTGACATTAACATTGTATCATTTAGGATATGGTGACTTCAATGGTTCCAAAAGAATTAGAGATATTAAGTCATTTTTGATCAATTTGGGGAATAACTTTGTATATATGATGGCTATGGGATCAATGCGAGCTTTCTTTTGATTGTCTTTGAATTTTTTCAAACCACTCACTTAATTGTTAGGTCTTGAAACTGGTGTAGTGATAAGACTAAGCTTATATGTAGGTGCTTCGAAGGTTGGTTGATAAAGACTTGAGGAGATGTTATTCAT